ATTTGTAATACTCAAGTACTTTAGGTTGAGGGGCTTGTTGGCTGCGTTTCCGAGGAGCGGCCCTGGTCCCCTAACTTGCCAACTCCCCCCCCCCCCCCCAAAAAAAAAAAATTGCATGTGAACTGTTCCAAAAAACATAACTGCAACTTTAGTTATGATCTTCGCCTCACAAACACGGCATCACACTTGATCTACTTGTTCTACCTCCTTATTCTTTTTTCACTCAAATAATATATGGTTATATTATAAATCTTAAAAAATGCACAACCATCTCTCTTGACTTGTGGTGGCTAAAGTGCGGTTCTATATCTTTTACCGACTTGCCACTCTTAAACCAAGACGGAAGGCGAAGAAGTGGTTTTGGACATATTCGTTGCTATATGTTTATAGTATAATATTATTGAGTATAAAAAAAGAAATAAGGAGGATGTGTAATACGAAAGTCAACAAGAAAAAATAAGATCTTTATATGCTTATTTTTTTTATTAACGCATTTGATTGGTCATCAAACAGCAAAACAAACATCAAAACATCAAAACATACATGACGCCTCAAAAAATCGAGCATTAAAAAAACATTCGTTTTTGTTCGAGTGTATTATTAAAATTTTATTAGCTGCTCATAGTAAATGTACAATAAACTACTACTGTATAAATGAACTAGGTATATTATAAACAACCACACACATATATAAAAAATTTCGACCATACATTTAACTGTTATAGCATTACAAACTTGAAAAAAAAGTTTCGCTGTTAGATTAGGATTTAACTTAAAAGCTTTTTTATTCAGAATAAAGAAATCCCCATATGTCGCTCAAAAATCAGTTACATATCTGAGTTTAAATTAACATCAATATATTGATATTAAATACAACAGCAGAAAAAAGGTTAATATCCGAATAACTTTACAAGATATTATAGTATTTTTTTTTTTTGAAAATAAAATAGTATAGTACTAGGTATTTTACATGTTCAATAATTTATACTATATAAAAAACTTACCTTATAATTATCCTTGATTAACTAGTAATCTGCTGTGAGTCAATCATTTTGTGTATACATGTTGTACGTCAAATTAAAATATGCGTCAACTCAAAATCAATATAATACTACTAATGCCTATCCTAACTCTAAGCCGAAACCAAACACTAACCCTAATCCTAAACCATGGTTCTAACCTTGTCCTAACCCTAATCCTTACCCTAACATAGAGCTAAACCCTAATTCTAATGAAATTCAGTATTGAATTTTAAGTTGACACAAATTTCAATTTGACGCACAACATACATATCATAAACAGAGTTGGCATTTTACTATTTTTTTCTATTGGCATATAATTATATTCATTTTTTTTTATTTTTTATTGTAAATTTTAGTATTAAACTTTATTAATTATTAATATAAAAATATTAAATTTATTACTTTACTAATCTCTAATAATATATATTTAAATATATATATAATTATAAATTAATAATAAAAGCAAATTGAGCTTTTATTCTATTATCCTATTTGCTAACACTGATAATAATGTATTACGTGAATTTTACTCTTATAAGTTTGTATTAATTTGTATATAAGATCAACTAAATTTTATTAGTTTGTGTTAATTTATCGCGACATTTAAACAGATAAATACATGCACAAATCTTGAAAAAAATGATCAAGTTAATAATGGCTTTAATCATTAAAATTTGTAGTATTTGTATTGCTTGGAACTGGATTACTTAAAATTGTAGTAATTGTAAGAGTTGCAGTAGTTGGTAACATTTGGTGTAAATTTAGTAACCATTCTATAGGAATCTTTCTGGCACACATCTAGTATAAATATTTTTGATGAAATACTACAATTTGAAAATTGTCCTATTGAACAAATAAATGGTTAATAAGTTTAAATAAAAATTTATAATTATCATAAAATTATTCTTAAAGTTTTACCAAAAGCAACAAACATGTACTTATCTATTAATGTTGCAGTATGTCCTTGAAGAGTTAGATCCACAATTGGGTTTAAAATGGTTCCATTTGACCATCGATTCACTGCAGTATCTAAGGTCCACATACAGTAAAACCTCTGTAATTGCACTCTCTATAAGTGCACACCCTCTCTAAATGCATGCTCAACTATATAGATGACCTCCATAAATGCACTTTTTCTCATTGTCTCTAAGTGCACGTTGTTAAAATTTGGTCCCAAGCGCGTGCATTTATAGAGGTTTTACTGTATCGCCAAGATTTACATTTGAGTTTCTATCACCGAAAATTATAATACTCCCGTCGAGAGCTTTTAATTTAAAAGATTAGTATATTAGCAAAACTTTTTGTACCTAAAACACTTATTTATATTATCAATGCATACTTAATACTGCTGAAAAATAATAGCGTGTAGGAGGAGTTTGACCAGGTATATTCTAATGGGAATGTCAGACGTTAATTATTAGATACTAAAACATCATGAAAATTATATTTGTTTATGAGTACGTACCATATTTCCCAAAAATCTGATTGATCAATTTTATTAAAATATGTATAACACTTATATTATTCATTATTAATACTAATTCCACCAATATATAAAACATTTTCATTAAGTAAAGTTATTGTACAATAACCCCAGCGAGATAAGGGTGCATTTGTTGCATTGCTTAAACTCCATGTTGATGTAAATATCCAAAGTTCATTTGTGATATTACCAAAAGAATTATAACCACTAAAAATAGCGATCGATCCATTATTATTATTAAATTTAGTACATGAAATACTATCTCTATCTACGGGCGCACTTTCAGCATATGTGATATGAATCCACCGTTGTTCACTTATATTAAATTGATTAATAAATGTTTGATTATAAGGAAATCCACCAAAAATGAAAATTGCATCATTATTTTTTTCCACCAATGCACGCTGTAGCTTTTGCTTTAAAAGGTCCGCCAGTATAATAGGTAAGGTCAACCCATGAAATTGGGACTTCATCAGTTGTTATAAATGATTTAAAAACATTTAAATAAAATAATTCATTCGTAATGTTATAAGAAGATAAGCCAATGTATCCACCACTAAATAAATTTCCTTACCAATAAGGACTGATGAATGAAAAAATTTGCCATTGGGAATAAAAGTAGCAAAAGTCAGAATAAAATTTAAGATAAAACTCGTAAGTATCATATTTATTAAAATCACCATATAGCATATTTTGCGGTGTAAAACCCTGAAGATATACCTGAATCAGCGTCTGAAATTGGGTTGCGGAGCTTACAACCACAAAACGGTTATAAGTTACCACAAGCGAATTTTGTGAATTTTCATATACTAATATAGATATACTCCTACGCGCAACTAAATTAAAATGTGGATATAATATACAAAATTGAAATCCCATTGCTAATAGTTAAACATATATACTTCAGTTCAATTCATATTTGAGTGACGCCAATGAAAACAACCTTTGGGCTCAATTTGCCGTTTGAGATGTGCTAATTTAAAAATAATTTCTAAAAGTGCACTATGCATACGTACGTACGTACATGTTGTCTTAGAAGTTATTTTTATATTAAATATCTAACAGCTATAAATAAACGTATCCAATACCGAATCTTTACGTTGAAATTACTAAAGATAGATGTAGGGGTATTTAATTCCGCAAAATACGGTAAGAATTGAAAAAGGTAGCATAATAACGTTAGGTAAATTAGGTCCGAAAGGAAAACCAAATCGTAGAGCATTGATCTGGCTAACTGATTCGAATCAATTGCCCGATTAACTAATTTATACTTTAAAGTACTTTTTGATGATGTAATGTTTCAGTGGCAAAAATACGTCAACTCGTTCTATAACGAACTAACTGTTCTGGAAGGAAAAAAACGTTCGTTATAGAAAATTACTGTTTTCTTAAGAACCCATGGTATTTCTATACCGAATTACTATGAAAAAAATTTTAAATGTTGGGTTCGTTATATCCAGAATTCGTTATATGGAGGTTCGTTATATTCAGAGTCGACTGTATTAAAAAATTTGATAATCTTTCGCTTCGTAAGAACATTAACATTCACTATGTAGAATAATTCCAAAACCGATGAAGACAATGGATTAGGAATTGGTACTTGCTTTCAAACGGTGATTTCCTAGTCCATTCCCCAAATACTCTTATTTATTACTATGGATACTATAATAACTATATATGTATAAGTCGACATGCTGAAAATGGTTAGTTAAGAAAGATGTTTAAGATGCTCAGGCTAAGTTTCTGATATTAACGTTAAGAATGTCTTTATACGCACCATTTAAATGGTTTACGTTAATAACCAGGCAAAATCGCATGAATTGGCATGTGCTCGTAGACTTTGCGATGTAAATTACTCACAAGAAATTTCCGGCACATGAACAAATTTTGTAAAAATCGCTTATATCTCTGAATTTTACTAATTAAGCTGCCTTTTAACTACTACGTAATAAAAAATGTTTATCACGAAATTTTACTATGCATAAAACACTAACTCTAACTGTAAGTATAATCAAAAATGTGATGCGGTGAAATAATCAACTCCAAGAACACCAAAAAATCAGTCAATCAGATTTCAAAAACAATCGAATAAACGAAAAATTTAAAGTAATAAAACCTTAACACTAGGGTTAGCTTTATGGCGAGGTTAAAGAACACAAAAGGCAGTTTCATAGGCGAGATTTTGAGCTACAAACGATTTTTCAAAAAGGTACATAGTTTCACGTTATACCTGATCTTGAAATCTGATTGACTACGCAGAATTTTTGGTGGCGTTCTTGAGGTAGTTGAAATAATCACTAATATAACATACAATACATCGATACTTTATTAGCCCGAGGTCCCCGTGCCCCGAACCCTATTTGCTAAACATATACAAGTGTTTGGATTCTATGTCGAGGTAATCAAAAGTTAAATTCACTGATTGGCTGTTTCCTTTTTAGGATTATTACGCGTTAAAATATTTATTTACATTCATGTCGCGATTATTTTTAACTAAATCTTAACCATGATATATTAAATTCACTAACACTAACAACGGCAAATCAGAACCATTTTGCGAAACCTAGTAAATATTATTTGGGATTCTACCAAGTCCAAATTAGTAAGTTTAGGCCGCAACCCTTACAGTAAGAAGAATGATTAGAATAAAATAGAATGAACAGAAGTTACAATAGAATGCCAACACTAATTAATTATGTTTATAATTTCTGCCAAATAAAGATAACTCGCATCAATTTTTAGTATCAAAATTTAACATTGCTTGAAACACGTTGCTTACTGCTTGTGTAGAGGGTTCTATGGACCTTTCTTGACTCGAATTGCTAAGTTGTTTAACTAGATAAAATTTTTTTTTTAATTATCTTTGAAGTTTAGTCACCCATCAATCTTTTCGAATTGCACAAATTTTTTTCTGCCTGCCATAAAATTCTGTTTTAACTCTTCTTCAATAGTTGTAGTTGCTACAAGCCGAATTGTGATGTTTCTATATTGTATTG